AGAGGCTTTCTAGTGATCCTTGAAGCCATTGTGATGTATTCTCCACAGGTCCTTCAGAACATTGCTAGTTCAGATTCGCTATTGATTTTTTAAGCTGTAAGGGTCAGCAGCTACCCAAAGAACTTGAGGTTCCAAGGGGGCAAATCAGGAGACTCAAGCAGAGGCTTCTAAGTCATACAGAACTTTATTTGGCCAATTGAAGTTGCTGGGTGGAACACTGCCTGAAACACTGGCAGCTGCGTTCAGAAGTGCCACACAGTGGTCAGTTAGGCACTTCTATTTATATACAGATAACAACCAATCACACGGTGACACTTGTTGGCACACAGAATGTTAACCAATCATCTTTCATTACTTTCCCATTCTTTCCCCTGTCTCTGGGTCTGTGTACATGATCTTCCTGCCTTCACAAAATGGCATCCCTAACGCAAGCACAGTGTACAGAAGCAAAATGGAAGTCATTATGCTAATAACAAGAATAACCTTTTCTATAATCCCTATAAAGCCATCCCTTTCTTGGGCTACCTCAAGATTTCCTCAGACTTCTATAGACTTCTATAATTAGATGCTTGAAGCCATTCCTGCACATTTAGATGTGATGTTTCTGCCCTTTCTTCTTGGAAATGGTTTATGGTTACATCCAGCCACTCACTCACATCCTCCCTAGATGCTTCAGGACATTCCTTCTGAAGATTTATCAGAGATGCTTTAAGCTATTCGGTTTTGACGTTTAGAAGAATCCTGCTTCAGGCTTTTCAGAGATTTTTAAAAGATGTTGCGTAGATTCTTTGGATTTTTGATTTTGAGATTGCCTGCAGAAGCTTTAAACCATTCCTTCTTCAGTTTATTTTCTAGCATTAGAAGTCCCATCTTTTCAAGATTTTCTTTCTAACTTCTGGTTTTTTTAACATCTGCACTTGTTTGTTAAACACTCTCCTTCTATTCCCTACCTGTCAGAACTAAAGAAGCTTCTTAGATGAGAAGCAAAATGTTTTCAAGGAAAAAAAATCAAGAAAATTCAGTTGCCTTTTGAAAAACATCTTTGGGATGTTTACAACTGTACAAGACATAATTCATTAATCTCTTTCTCTCTTTTATATTTTAGTGTTTGTGGGATATTAATTTCAATATTTGGTCAATTATTGAAAAGTATTTTATATAACATTTAGCTAACAATAAGTGACATTGTCCTAAAACATCCATTGTAATTTATGTATTGACAAGATGATATTCATATTTAGTAATACCGATAGATTTGTGTGCAGAAGCAAGAATAGTAACAATATGATAGAAACTAATATTAATTTTATTCTTTTGGAACTTTTTTTACAGAAATATGAATACTTATTTATTTTTAAATTTTATTGTACACGGTAATTCACGGTGGCTTACAGTTACATCTTAGTTAAAACAAAAATGTTAAAATCAAACCTTAAGACCAAAGACACATGGGGAGAGTGGGGGTAGAGGTGGGATCTGTTATTACTCAATCAACCACCTCCATTGCGCTGATCTCCCACTGGGGTCCCAAGCTGACTGGCATAGAATGTCTCTAGGTCTTTATGAAAAAAATATGGGGGTTGGGGCCACCCTCACATTGGGGACCAAGTTGTTCCAGAGGGCAGGGAAGGCTTTCCTCCTGGATCCCGCAAGCCAGGACACTCGGGCTGACTGGACCCACACAGGGCTTTTTTTCTCATAGAATGCCCAAAATGGAGTTCCGGCACCTTTTTGGGATGGAACCTTGTAGGGTAGGCAAGGTGGGTTGTATGACGTGTGTGAATTCCGGCACCTTTTTTTTTTTTTTAGAAAAAAAGCACTGTCCGCAGCATACCTTCTCTGCTGGCCAATCCCAGTGGGGTGAGATGATCCCTCAAGTGACCTAGACCCATGCCACTAAGGGCTATCATCATACAATAATATTTAATATAGCTGTTCATATGTGGCCCCTAGAAGTGATGAATTTTTCAGCTCCAGCTTATGAGAAGTGATGTTTAATCTACTCTACTCCTATAATCAATGTTGGGATGCTGATTAATGCACAGTAAAATGAGAAATAATAAACAGAAATTTATCTATTAGATAACTGCTTATTATGCTATGAACATCAAGTTTCACTTTATTTATTTGCTTATATTTATATCCTGATTTTTCTGTGATGCAGTGGAAATTTGGGACAAACAGTCAGACCTCAAATTAAATAATACCTTTAACCCTTTTTAAAAATGATATGAGAATTAAGAAGAATAGTCTTATAAACCCATAGTGATATAAGTTCTTTTCCATTTTTATTTATTGTGTACAATTGCCTTCATTTACTATATATGACCAGAAGAGGGAGTTAGGGGGAATTTAATATGAAATTCTGGAAGAGAAAGTCAGGGTTGCTATCTAAAAATATCTCACCTACTCAGTTTTTTCTCAAAATATTCACAGAGTCCCTGTTTCTTTCTAAGTCGGCAGCTAATGATTTTAATAAGTTCCTTTTTTTTTTTACATCAGAGCTCTTCCATGTCCACCAATAGATCAGAATTTATTACTGTCATTCTGTAAAATATCAAGATGAGAATGAAAATAGCCCGTTTTTACTTGAATCATTAAAACTTCTTAAATTAAAAAAATATTTAAAAATACTTTGATTGTGATGGTTAGATGTATCCATGAGTTTTAATTAATTGCTTTGCTATTTTTTATTGTAACAGCCAGCAATCTCTCCTAATAGAAACCAATGCTTTAATGATTCATTGGGTACATTAGAAATGCTCAGTAGAAGTGACAAATCAATAAATTTTCCCAGACTGTAGCTCTTTCGCCACTATACTTAAAGTTTTTAATTATTTCAGCATTCATCATTATAAGAGTTTGATTATTTAAATACATTAATGATTTTTACTTCAGTATTTAGCATAGATTTTCTTAATCTATTCATAGATGCAGGGAGTCTTTAGATCTTAACACCCTTTTATCTTACATTCCAAAAAAGATGCAAAACAATCCAAAATGATTTCCAAAAACTAAGAAAAATTATGGATGTAGAGTATAGGAAAAATCATGACAGTTGTAAAGAACAACTTATATAATCTCACAAGAATAATTACTTTCCAGACTTGCACAGAAGTGCTACAGATGTCCTCCTGCAATTTCTGAAACAGTTTTTTAGAATCACATGCAGTCCTGCTAAAAAAAGTTTTGGATTATGAGAAAGTAGCCAGTGTTTCATCTGTAATGAAACTGCAATTATGTATATGTGCAAAGTCTGAATGGAATACAAGTAATCCTCAACGTACGACTATAATGGAGCCCGGAATTACAGTTGCAAATGGTTGCAGTCGTATGTCGAGATGCCCATGTGATCGGAAGTAATTTTCCATCCTTTTTTTGCAAGTTGTCTTTAAGCAAATTCATTCATTTAAATGTTGTTGTTGTTTTTTTTACCAAAAAACATGATGTGCCATGACTGTAGAATGCCACAATGACCTGCCTGACATGTGGTCACATCATCACAGGGATGGGTAGCATGACTGTTTACAATGGCCTGGAGTGCTTTATGATTGGTTGTTTAAGTGGGGACTACGGAAAGGTAAATTGCTTTAAGGAACATTAGTGTGGGCATATTAATCATCCTTGCTACCATCCCTGACCTTTGCTGAGTTGAGTGAAAAGACTGATGGAGAAGTCCACAGTCTACTTGAGTTCGATCAAATCCAAGCACAACTCTTCTTCACACTTCACATCCCAACCTAGCTTGATGGAGGAGAGATGGGTTAAGGCTATTTAACCTAAACATGCTATTTAAAAGATTTTTATAGATCCTTTTGATCTTAAGAAATTGGGGTTTGTTTGTGCAATTTGAACCTTAGAGTCTATAAGATTCAGAGATTTTCTTTGCAAGACTGAACAGAAGAAATTATGTCAGATCACACCATCAATGAGTACAATTAGCACTTTTAATGGATTGATAAGGTATATGCTCACATCTGTTTCTTTAGTTCAAGGGCCTTAAAAGTGATGAGCTAGCAGTTTCTCCATTTTACCTTGATGAGAACATTTGTATTGTATTGCTCAAAATTTTTGGATTACTGTTGCGAATACTACATTTATTGCATGGGTGTTTTTTTTTACAAGGATTTCCCCATTATACCACAATATTTTGGGGTGCCAAGTTAAATACTAGCTGGGGGTATTCCTGACACAAAACCCATTAAGAAAATGATGGAAGCCAGTCTTTGATGAAAATAGTGGCCCAAAATAAAAATAGATTTAACTTTATTCTTTGCTAGAATTAGTTACAAGAAATCTGGCCCAAAGTTTGTTCTGTCAATTTTAAGTAGCCCTGAAGTTCATTTTTTTTTAAAAAAATAACTGAACTAGAGCTATAGAAAGCTGTATTGATTTAAATACGAGTAGAATTGGCTTTTTGTAGATCTATCCATGCCCCACCCATGCACTTTGGACAATCTCCAGATTGTCTAGAACTATCTAGAACAGACATGTCAAACTCACGACATCACGGGACATCGCGCGATGTATCGGAGCTTTTTTCCCCATTGCCAGCAATGGGGTGGGCGCGGTTTCCTCGTGACACATCCGGCCTGAGGGGCCTGCAGTTTGACATCGCTGGTCTAGAAGGATATTGTAGAATTACTTTCCTGCCATCCACTAACTAATCTATGAGTGATTCTAAATACTGTCTTAACTGTTGCTTAACCTTGCAAACTGTCCAGTCATCCTGACAAACCCCCAGAAATTACTAATTTAAAGTCCAAGCATTACCCAACAATGAAATCCTTGAGCTTTTTCCAAGTGAGAATCCACAGATCTCCTCAACCTAAACATCAGAAAGTTATATTAGGGTGCTAGATTTTTGGCACTGGTTTGTTCTCCAAGCTTGTTTCAATATAGTTTCTAAATGTTTCATTACTGAACATCCTCAGCAGGATTTTCTTGTCCTGTTCTCCTTAGCTTAAATGTGTCTTGTGTGCCAGTATGGACAGTTGGTAAATTCTGAGCAGCTGATCGGTTCTCTTGTTGATTGGTATTAATCAACAAGAGAACCAATCAGCTGCTCAGAATTTAAATATAGCTCCAAACAAACAAGCAATCGCATGACCAACTGACCACACTGGCACACAAGACATTTATAAGCTAAGGAGAACAGGACAAGAAAATCCTGCTTATGTTACCTAGTTGGGTAATGAAATGTTCAGAAACTATGTTGAAACAAGCATGGAGAACAAACCACTTCCAAAATCTAAAATCCGAGCTATTTTCTATTATTTCAAAGCTAGATTTTTCTTTATGGCTTGCAATTGTTTCCTTAAGAAAAGACACATTGGCAGTGATGTAACAGCTAATTATAGAAGAGCTATATTCCAACATTTGGAAATTATGCTGATGGAAATGGTGATGATTCAGGAATCCAGTAACTGGAAAAATTTCTTGTTGATGTATTTGCATTTTTATATATTTTTAATTATTGTTGTTACGTGGCCAGGAGCAGCCAGAAAAATGGTCTCTAAAATGTGAACAGATTGGTATGATTTGATAAAAATTCCCCACTGAAGAGAGAATTGTAACAATGTCATAGCATCACATGAAGTTTATTCCATCAGAGAAGGGAATGTTCCTTCAATTCATTCATCTGTGAGCAAATACAAAAAAGCTATGAGTAAGATGAAAGTAACATGAATACAGTATGTTAGCCTGAGATGCAATTTACAGTTACAATGTGCCTTCAGTCAAGGAAAAAAGAAAACAAAAGTTCTTTGTGGTATTAAATTCCTGAGAGAGAACACCATTGGTCCTCAGAAAATAAACATAGCTGCACCTCCTAAGAACACAGGAATTTTAGAAAAAATATAAAGAGCTTTTCATGGGATGCTAACGTTCAGTTGTGTCAGAATACTTTATGGTGAAATCTTGTACAAAAAAAGGTAGATATTGTACATTCTTTCATCTTTCGAGGCAACCAGAGATTTTTAAAAATAATTTGCAGAGATTTGGGCTATGCCTGATGACTGATTTTCTAATTTGAACTGGGATAATATTAGCCCTCAAATTAAAATTTACTTTCTGTCTGAGTGGATCTTATTTACTTTGCTCCCAAACATTTTGCATTGAAAAAAACCAAAATGCTTAATAATATATCTTGTAAAACATTTCTGTAATGTATAACCTGAATTTCTTATCACAGGAAAGATTACTTTTTTTAAAGAATTTATAATCAAGATCTGAATGAGGGTGCAGTGGTTAGAGTACAGTATTGCAGGCTACTTCTGTTGACTCCTGGCTGCCAGCAGTTTGGTAGTTCAATTCTCACCGGCTCATCCTTCTGAGGTTGGTAAAATGAGTTCCCAGATTGTTGGGGGCAATATGATGACTCTGTAAACTCTTAGAGAGGGCTGTGAAGCGGCATATATGTCTAAGTGCTATTGTTATCTCTTAAGAAGGTCTTGGTTTTCTCTCTCCTCAAGAAGCCCTTGTTGGACCCTACGATTTCTGTCCACTATCCAGCCTCCCCTTTGGGAGGAAGATGGTTGAAAACCAGCCAAGCTACAGCATCAAAGAACTTTCTTTTTACAACTTTATTTCCAGTTAGATCATTTCAGGGAAGAAATCCAACTTTATTCTAACAGAAGTTCATTGCTGCAACCTCTAAATTGGATAGAGCATTGAGCCTATGGGACTGTCAGAGTTAAGTCCATAATACTGTTGGTGAAAGAAATTCTCCCTTTGGATAAGATTCATATCTGTCTACCCTGAAAATAACAGGATTTGCAAATCATTTACAAGTAGTTCTCACTACTAACAGTACTTGGCACCGGGAACCATTGCAAAGCAGCAAGGTCATAAAGCTCAATGTCATATGTCCATGCTGATTTATGATGGCATTTCTGGTAGTTCCCATTGCTGTGATTAGGCAAATCTTATATGGTTGCATGGATCATGTGATTGCCAGTGCTTTTTTTCTAAAAAAAATAAAGGTGCCGGAACTCACACACGTCATACAACCCGCCTTGCCTACCCTACAATGTTCCATCCAAAAAAGGTGCCGGAACTCCGTTCTGGGCGTTCTATGAGAAAAAAAGCCCTGGTGATTGCTATTGTAACACTGTAACATGGTAATCATGTGACCATGGGATCTAATTGCCAACTTCCAGAATCACAATCATGTGACCATAGGGGATGATGTAACAACAACTAGGACCTATCATGTCCCCCTTATTCAGCATCTTCATAACTTCAAACAGTTGCTGAAAGAGTGGTCATTAAATGAGGATTACCCGTATTAGTTCCAGAAAAGATAACACAACCTAAAAATAATATATAAATAGAACAGTTGCAGAAGATATGCCCTTCCCAGTTATAAAAGATAGTCCAATCAGTATTAATGGAAGTAATCTATTTTTTTCCACTTCAAATTGGCTTACATAAAGAAATCTTGATGAAAAGATAACATTGTGAAAACTTGGCTTTCACTCCATAATACGCCCTTCAAAAAAATTCATTAAACATTCAACAGGATTTAAATACATCATAAAGGCCTTCACTGCCAATTTCACATCTCCTTTCATGGCGTGATCTTTACCCAAAGTCAATTTTTCATCTTTGTGGGAAAACAAAACAGGAAAATCCCAGAATTTCTGAAGGTGAACCATTCCTCCTTTAATAATCTCTTCACCTTTGGAATTGGATCACTGTAAAACCCCAAAGGCGAGAGAATTACTTGTTTGTGTGGAGAAAAGGCAGAATAAAACACATAGCTGAAAGGTCGTTCTGTAGCTGACATTTATTAAAAACTGCAATATATTTTTTATGTTTCCTATGTTGTTATTTTTATTTTTAAAATATTATTGAGTTGCTGGACCATTGAAACTAAAAAGAAGCCCTGGCAGTCAATAATGATAACAATAATGTTCAACTTCAAGCATTTGGTGAACATCTAAAACATAACAGGAATTCCAACAATAATAATTGTTATTATTAACTATTACCAAAATGCCATCGCCAGAGAGCAAATCTTACTCCCAGCACTGATGATGTTACCTAGTTGGGTAATGAAACATATGCAAGGAAACAACCAAAGCTCAGAAAACATCAAGGATCCATAATTCAATTCTGAACTACAAATACAGGTAGTCCTTAACTTACAACCATTCATTTAGTGACCAATTGATGTTACAACAGCATTAAAAAAAGAGACTTATGACTGTTTTTCACACTTATGACTGTTGCAGCATCCCCATGTCACATGATCAAAATTCAGATGTTTGGCAACTGGCTCATATTTATCATGGTTGCAGTGTCCCGGGGTCATGTGATCACCTTTTGCAACCTTCTGACAAGCAAAGTCAATGGAGAAGCCAGATTCACTTAACTGTCTAACTACTTAACAACTGAAGTGATTCACTTAAGAACTGTGACAAGATAGGTCATAAAATGGCGCAAAACTCACTTAATAACTATCATCTTAGCAACAGAAATGTTGGGTTCATTTGTGGTCGTAAGACAAGGACTACCTGTATTCTGTTCTATCAGTATTTATTATTGATTTTATGCCCTGGTTTCCTGTTACGATGTTCAGGCTGACTTCTGCAGCATTGTGACTCATAAACCTAGTTTATGAACCACAATAGCTGATTCTTATATGTGAAACAAAAACAAAACAAACTCGTTGCAATATAATGTAATATGTAAAGTAGTTATTCCTTACCAGTGTTGTTTTAGTAAAACTACTGAGGTTGGGTGACCTCAGAGGTAGAGACATGGCAACCACTTTGCTTCTTTCTAATGATTGTTTCGTGCTTTGCAGATATAATGATAGATAGATGATAGATAGATAGATAGATAGATAGATAGATAGATAGATAGATAGATAGATAGATAGATAGATAGATAGATAGATAGATAGATAGATAGATAATAGAGATAGTAGAAAAATATGGATAATGATAGATCAATAGATAGGTAAGTAGATAGAGAGATAGATAAATAGAAAGATAATGTAATTCTCTCCCTCTTTTTGCCTAGCTATTTTTCCCATTCTTGAGTTAGCTGGAAGTTTGCTGATCTTTAATAAAAAATATCAGCATATAGTAATTGACTACTTTAGTGGAAGTGTACAAACTAATGTGGGAAATTATACACATTTTCCAACATTTCCAATGGTAACCATATTTCTTACCATTCATTCTCCTTAAGATTAAATGAAAATGTAAAGTACCCATTGAAAACTGATCACAAAAACCTCTGACATTAGGCTGGCTGAACCAGTGTCTGATTCACTTCTGCTTAATCCAGAAGAATCAAGGATTCTTTGAGAGCTCCCCTGGGTTTAATAATCTGGTTTACACATAAAGCTGAACCAAAGTTGATTAAATATTCTACATTGATTGTATTTGTTCTAAGCATTAAAATGTAACTCTTTGTAAATCATCTTGATAAATCATTAACTAACAAGCCATATTATGGCTTAATTAAAGGTGTGATATGTTAGAAACTACTTGAATCAGCCCACAGTTTTGTGTTGATATTCTAGGATCTTGGTGGTCTCGGTGGGATTTTAATACAATAGTCTTAAAATAAAAGGGCACATGAATATGTAGAATAGTGTTTCTCAATCTTTCTCAATCACATTTTTAAGTTGTGTGGACTTCAACTCCCAGAATTCTCCAGCAGCTTCTGGGAATTGAAGTCCACACAATTTATAATTGCCAAAGTTGAGAAATACTGCCATAAAATATTCATACTCATATAAATGCAAAAATATTAGTATGGCATTTCTGTTTTTAAAAGAAAATAATCTCCCTTGAGCGAATTTCCTGGACACCTTCACACTGTATTCTAGAGACGATTGGGAAATTATTTTTATTTGCAATTTGCAATGTAGCCTAGAGTGCTTGGATGTCCTGAGTTTGTTCCATTCAAGAACTAACTGGATCTGACCTAGTGTGGTTTTTCAAGGTCAATTAGATCTGCCACCTAGCTGAACATTTTTAATAAATGCAAAACAGAACCATGTTATATAAGCAATTAACATTTTTTTTGCTCTTCTGGCCTTTTTTTAGATTGAGTAGAGCGCATAGTTCTGAA